CTAGATTTTAATAAGATACCAAAACATCGTATAAGTTATTGTTTATTAAATTAAATGTTATATGCAAACTGCTGTTACTATCGCTAAGTTTGATTTCCAAGCTACATGGTATAAACCCTTGGAAACAGTGTCTTATTTCTACCCAAAGAGATTTAAACTTTAGACTTTATCTATAAATTATTGCTTCGATTTTTAATCTCTAACAAAGTATAGTAAAATAATCTTTGAAAGGCGAGTAAAGATTGATATTACTTTAAATTTAATCGCTAGTTTAGATAAAGGCATTTATGAGACAAATACATATATACACACGCATACATACATCATGTGCACGCATTATAAGCAAAGATATTTATGTTATTATTTATAACATTTATACCATATCTGCTTAGGAAACTATATGGGAAGTAAGAAATTTTAAAATTTTTATGATTTCTGTGTTAATATAATTGATTAATTAATTGTTTTGCATGTGTTTGCATGTATGTTATCATGACGTAAATTCCTCAATTTATTTAAAAGCAAACGTTGTCCTTGCATAAATACAAAGGTTATCGGCACCTCGTAGTTTAGAAAAATAAATAAAATAAAATTCGAAAAACTTTTTAAAATCCCACTACCGCCTTTTCCAGAAAAATGTCTGTCAATCAAAGATGTTGTCTGATGATAAGCTACACGAAATTTCTCTTATCGATGGATTTTTAATACTCGTTGGAAATATTTTTTTTTTTTTATTTCGCTCTATTCAACTAAAAACTACTAATGCCTTGAAAATTATTTTAAAAAATTTAAAAAAAAAATAAATTCTGATTGCATTGATTATCATTGACAGTATTACAATTTAATCGAAAATAATGAAATTCGTCTCCGTAACGTTATTTGTTATTACACTTAAACCTGTTTTTGTGCCATCTTTTTTTGTGCGATTGTGCGGTCCCTATTCACCGCATAAATAGTTTCCGCAACAAAATTAAAAAGTTTTTGGGGATCACACAAAAACAGGTGCATATGCCTGCTGTAATTAGATCCTATTAAAAAATAATTACCGTTATTCTCCATAAATATGTTTCTTGTACAATTTATATGTAGGATTATAAAGATTTTCATTGCGCGCATTTCCTTTTACTACTGAAAATTTAATAATTTGTACCACTTAGTACTCATTACTTACCGTGCACATCTGATGTTATTCGGAATACGTTGGTATTTAAATGAGCCAAGCCAAAGACCTTTCATCTTTAACATTATGCAAAGATCGCGAAACGATAGAATGTTTGCTACTTGTGAACCCTTTAGCGAATCTTTTGGCTCATTTATTAGGTGGCTTAGAACTGCGTAGTATGTTGCTGCCAGCTAGCAATTTAATGTAACGAATTCGAAAGTAGACAACATCCTGCCCAAAGTTTCCAGGGGCTCGTCATTGGACTAAAACTTGTCAGAGTGTCAAAGTATACCAAAATAGCACCAATGACCTTCAAGTTGTATAGAAAATTATATGCACAGGCAGACCGACAAATTTAAATTAATTCCGAGAATATTTCTGAGTCGATTGATATAATAATAAAAACTGAATTTGAAGTCGTTCTGCGTGCTATGTATCACAAGTGGTGTACAGCATAATCATTTTAATCTCTTAGAAGTCAACTGCTAATGCTAATGGCTCCATACCCTCCGTTTGGTAATTCTTTCAAATGTATTTTGTTTTATATAACGAAATGCCAAGAAAAACGATCTTTGAATTAATTCGAGAAAAGAGCGTTTTTCCGCCGATGAATGCATTTGCTGTTGAAAAAGCATAAAACCACCCTATGACTTGAAACGAACAATAGTTTTCGTGGACTTAATTATCGTTTTAGATAGGAACTAAAAATAATTTAAGCAAATTGTTTTTGTTTTTGTGTGTGTATGTTGTAGACTTTCATTAACTTGATCCTAGAAAAGAAATAACAAGGCTTCCGATTAAGTGGAAATATTTTCTTCTATTAGTTCTACGAACATTCCTAGTGGTACATAATGCGAGGCCATGAATAAGGTATTTCCATACTATAATAAAGAGAAAGTCCCTTTTTTTTGCATTTTTTAACCTGTAAGAATGTAAAGAGTTGTGTTGTATATTTATATTTTGAAACGATGCAAGTTGTTTTACTATTCAGACACGTAACAAGGTAACAAATTTTCCTAGCATTTCATTTGAACTTTTATCGTAATTATACACCCCTGTGTTTAGCAAACATAATCATTTATATAACGCATTTGTTACATATTCTGAGAATTTTGCGATAAAGTCTCTTTACATTTGGTGTGGCATTGTACTGGGTACTGGGTTAACCTCATAACCTTTGCTTAATGCGGTTCAATTGTCCCGGTCATTGATACGATTGATCTGTGGTATCTTGTGTAATTTACGCAATTTTTATGCAAGAAAATGTCTCGGTTTATCAATTATTCTTACAAAGTCAATTAATTTTGTAATTTTAGATGAATGCTATAATCGAAATAAATTGAAGTTTATTGAACTTAAGTAACAGTTTCGTCATGAATTTAAAGCCTTGTTTTATAAATGATTAATATCGAACTGTTTATTTAAAAAATAAAAAAACAATTATGACTGCATTGATTGATTATCATCGATAGTATTACAATTTAATCGAAACTAATAAAAATCGTCTCCGTAACGTTATTTGTTATTACACTTAAACCTGTTTTAATATTCCCCTCTGTCTTTACATCGCTATCGTAATTCGAACGAAATCCTTTCATTTTATATATAATTAAGTATTCATTTAAACATTTCAATTAAGAAATATATAGCATATGTTTAGGCGAGTATTTTTCTCTACAAATTTTGAATTGCTAAGAATACATATACGCGTATCGCTAAAGATATTCACTCGACTATTATTATCATTATTATTTTATTCATTTTTTTTTTCTTATTACATATCACAGATTCGATTAGAAATGTAAGATTATTTGACAATTAAAAGAATAAATCGAAAATTATAAAAGAATTATTTTTGCATACGTACTCTGCTTGATAATTGTATACACTTATTCTCTAAATCGGCACAATACATGCA